TCTGCATCCAGGCAAAACTCAGGTCACAGGAACAGTATATTCCCTTTTCTATTTATCCTTTCAGGAGAAAAGGAAAAAGAAAACCCAAAACTTGCTATAGAGGTATCACCCATAGAGATAAAGAACGCCTAAAATGAAGCAAAGACTTCATGGAATCACCTTTCTAAATCTTCAGCTGCTCACTCTTGAAAATGTAAGGGAGGAAAACTGAAATGCATGTGAGTTAGCATGTAGTTGCATGAGACCCCAACTAGGACTCTAGGAATTTCCAAAGTTGATCCGACCACACCTGCTTTCTCCCTGCCTGTGAGAAAGGATGTCATGAAAATCAGTCCTCAGACAGATAAAACAGATTCCTTCTCCCTTTGAGTACTGCATCATTGCAAACAGCCCAGCACCCCCAAAACAGCGTGGGAGGTGAAGGACTTGGCACTTATTGCCACAGAGCTTTTCCAACCAGTTTGATGTTGCAGCGCAGCTACAAACAACGGGATCCAGCTCATGTTCAAGGAGCACCAGCTCCACGTCTCATTTAACAATGGAACTGGTGCACTATGGAAACTGTAATCTAGATGTCCCACTATATATGCTGGTAAAAGCATATACATACTGGTTATTCAGACATAATCTGGGGTTTGCCTGACACCTCCTACAATGAAGCTACTGATGCTTATCTATCATCACCCATACAGGGCACTGCAAACCACCCTTGAAACAACTCATCAGCAACTGGTAGACTCTCTATTAAAACTGTAGCAGTATTAATATCTGATGATATTACAGTAAAGATTTTTTTTTTAAAGCACAAAAGTCTGAGAAAGCCACTATTTGTCACAGGATGATCCAAAGGCTGTTAATCTCCTGTCTACACCTTAAGAAAGGAGGAGAAAAATCTAATTTAAACAAGTGCTAATAGGGATAAAAAATTCAGACTGATGCTACGTTAAATTACTCAGGAGGCTGAGGTATCCAGCCATGGTCTTCAGTAAAAAAGAAAATTATAGGGTCTATCAATTAGAGAAGCGGTGCTCTGAGCCTATGTGCTGGCATGCTTACAGTTTTTTTAATGTCTGGCAGGATGTTTTACAAACTAAACTCAGCAAGATGACAATTCCACCAGAAGGTGCTTCAGATGGTTTTGCTAATAATTTTGATCAGCTGAAATGGAGAAAAACATCACTTCGTTTATTTGGCTTTTCCAGAACCTGTCAAATCTGAGCAGAACCATTAATTGCCCGCTTCTGCATCTCCCTGCCATCTCGCCCACCTTCTTCCAGAAAAGACACACTTCGATTTTTTTTTTTTCCCTGAAAGCATTCTGCATAATCAGCCTTTGTTCCCAAAACAAACTTTGGTCATTCTTTGTGCACTTCCTTTGCTAGAAGGAAGTGCCATTTCTTGAGAATATTCATTGGAGGCTGGTACTGCTTCTGCTGCAAACACGTAAGTGCTAACCACCATATATTGGCTTTTGTTTTAATAGCCTTTTAACCAACTTTGTTAATGGACTGAATGCAATTTAGATATGGAACTTGGCTAAAATGTAGCTTCAATTGGCTATTAAAATTTAAGAGCCAACTAAGATAGCTAATTACAAAAAAGCTCCAGTGATAATGCTAAGCAGAATTAGTAATAGCAAATGACAGTCTGTCTAGTCTTATTCCCAAAGGGAAAGAAACTCTTAACTGAGAAGTCAACCAGACAACGTGCAGAAAACCTAATTGCATTACTGGTATTATGGCATCCCAAATCTGGCAGCTCACTGGGACAAAACAGTGAGTAAAGTCTGTCAAACTACTCAGGAAAGCAACTGACCCCCTTCTTAATGCTAGCTGCAACAGATATTGGGAATTACATTATTATTTTATATGAACTTACTGGGAAATATTCCCGTAAAAATTATCAAATCAGCATCAGCTAAAAAATATCTTATACCCATCCTGAATTTGAGTCTCTCTCCAGATATTTTAGATTAGGGGAAAAAATATAAACAATCTGTCGGCAAAATGTTCAAGCACTAAAAGAAGCATTCTGTGCTTCATTATCAATATCCTCATTACACCATCAGCCGAAGTGCCGACTAGTTCTCCTGTGAAGATTTATCATGTATGGTGGCCACTTTGAAACATAGGTAGCGGAGTCTTTAACATTCCCTACTCAAGTGTCTCCCTGCTGCGCCTGTAAATGTCAGTCCAGTTTTTTCACGGCTGTGCGCACAGATTAGAAACAGCAGGAGAGCTTGGGAGTATGACTACAATACCAGTAAGGACACTTGTCTTCATGGCACTGCTCAAGTGATTCTTGGAATGCAGGACCCTGCTGTTTTCTAATATTTACACACAACTGGAGTCATCAAGAGCAGTAAATGCAGTCTAAAGGCAGCTTGCTTCTTTTGTGTTAGGGGCTTTACTTTCAAATGGGGACGTCAACAAAAACCTGCTACACCCTCTGCCTCTTATAAAGTGGTGTATTTCCCCATCACTGTTTTGCAAAACAGCAAAAACACATGTGTGCAAGCACACACTGCATGCAATACATACGGTAGTACTGCAGGTATTATCACAGCCTTCCACTTGGCTCGTCCTCACTGTCCCACACTTTAAACATCATTGCAGTTTACAGGGAGCCAGAGACATTCTTGCCTGCGAAGACTGTACTTTTGCACAGTCTCTTGTGAGCAGAGACCAACCCTGAAACAACATTCACCTAGAATGGAAAGCACCCTTTTCCTTCACAGAACACTTGCCAGTACAAACCTTTCCCAGGACATTTTTGGGGTGGGAAGAGGTAGGGGTGGCTTATGAAATCTGCACCTCAAAACACTCTTTTCAAATATATGGAAATATCTGCGTTCGTTGCATTTGGCTTTGGTAGTGTGTCCTGGTTTCAGCTGGGATAGCGTTAATTTGTTTTTTCCTAGTAGCTGGTATAGTGCTGTGTTTTGGATTTAGGATGAGAATAATGTTGATAACACGCTGATGTTTCAGTTGTTGCTAAGCGGTGCTTACACCAGCCAAGGACCTTTCAGCTCCCCATGCTCTGCCAGCGAGAAGCTGGGAGGGGGCACAGCCAGGACACTGACCCAGACTGGCCCAAGGGCTATGCCGTACCGTATGACGTCATGCTCAGTGTATAAACTGGGGGAGTTGGCCGGGGGGCGGCGACCGCTGCTTGGGGCTGGCCGGGCATCGGTCGGCAGGTGGTGAGCAATTCCATTGTGCATCACTTATTTTGTATCTTCCCCCTTTTTTTTTTCCTGATTCCCTCCCACCTCCCACTGGGAATGGGGAGCAAGCCAACGGCTGTGTGGTGTTTAGCTGCCTGCCGCGTTAAACCACAACATAGTGTCAAAAGAAAACACACTCCTTGAAATATTGGAAAGTAAAGAAAGGAAGTTTACCAGTAAATAAGTTACTAAAAAATTAAAATATCAAACAACTAAAGTACAAAAGAATGACAGTGAGTATGCAAGACCAGAAAGAGAACACAATGTGCTTTCCTGACAACAGCTCTTCAGAACAGTGTAACATACTTTTTGAACAAAATGATTAAATGAAGTCATTAAAATGATAGTTTGATTTGAGGAGTTTTAAATATGAGAGAGGCTTGAGCAGTCCTATTTTTACACCTGAAACAAAGAGAATGCTATGCTTGAAGTCATCAGACACACTTTGCTAATACCCAGGAAAATGAGTCTGTATAGCACTCAGAACAGAAATGAGAAAGCACTAGATTTTAAATATGTTATTCCAGTTTTATTTCAAAACAACGGATTGCCTTGCTTTCAAAACATAACCTCATCATTCACTCAACATTTTCTGCTACAACATATTTATTTCAGTGAGTAGCTACTTGGACATTACACAATCAAGCAAGCAGAGGACTGAACATCCACACGAATACACTACCCGTTGGCTCATATGGATTCCTTTTGGTTTGCCAAACTTCATAACGCAGTCTCCCTGATAAGAGTGATGTTCATGCTCTAATTCTATGTATTTTTGCAGTATCTAAATGAAAAGTATTTCGGTATTTCACACCGAAATTAAACACTGCATTTTTCTGACTTAGAACTCTGAAGAGAAGACTAAAAGCCAAGCAAGGCAGTACTTTTAAGAAAGGTTACATGCTTCTCAACTATTAAAAAAGGTAAACCATTATTTAGTTATGAGAAGCACATGTGAGTCAAGCTTTCACTGGAACTAGATACTGTACAAAGTTATTCATAATTATAACTTTTCTAGCCTTTTCACTAATATAAAGACAACCTGAGCAGGGGGTTGAGATTGGGCATTGGGTTTTGGTTGGTTCTTTTCTTTGCTCTGGGCCCTATACCTGAAGTTCTGGTCTCCTTCTTTCCAGAGAAACTCTGAATAATTGGAAAAATGATACAAACACAAATACTATGCAAAAAAATAACTAAAATTCACTACCTGTCCTCCAAAGAATTGTTTAAACACTTTTTATAACAAACTAGAACGGAAGGATGTGATATTTTGTCTTATGTTCTCTTTTTTTAATTCAAAACACTTGAGAAATATTTAAAAGATATCTCTGCCATTTCAGACTTCATCTCAGTGTATATCCAAGTGACCTCCAATAAGACTTTACTCAAAATTAGAAGAAATCAGATGCAACGCCGCTGTTCCGTATAAAGTACCCATAGCAAAACTAAATAAGGCTTCATTTCTACCTTATAAAGCAGAAAAAAGCACTTTCTTTTAGTTTGCCTTTAAGATATGAATTTGTGTATATAAAGAATAAAAATGCATCCTCACTTCAAAGTTGGCAAAATTTTGCATTAGTATTTAAGTACACATAAATTATGCAAATATTTTAATAAAACATTTATTCTTCAAAAACAGGTACAAACAACTGTCCATGTTTTTACAGGATTCATCATTTAAAAAGGAAAGAAAAAGATTCCAGTGCTACAATAACTGAAAAAAAAACCCAGAGATGAACCAAAGAGCAACTTATTTTTTTGCTCCACCTATTATTTACTTCTGGACTCTCTTTCTGGTTGCTGTGCCTTTCTTGGGTTTTGGTGAGGTCACCTTCCGGGTTCTGGTAGCTACCGCATCTGCAATTCAAACAAAAAAGAGACAAGACTCTGTAAAATAAAACAACAGAAATGGATCACAGGAAAATATTTGTAGTCTTTAAGGGGACAGATCAATTCAAATCACTCATGTAGTTTTGATGGGGGGTTGGGGGACACGTGACATGGACTCAGAAGAATTTACCGCAATTTCTGGGCACCGATTTTCTCCTGAAATACACATTGTACAATTCAACTTCTCAAAGAGTAGCATTACATAGAGTTGAGCCAATTTAACAGCTCACATCCACCAAAGCATGAAGAATCAGATCCTCTTCAAATCCTAAATCCCTCCTTCCCTCCGATGCACCAACTTTCAGTTCTGTGATCCTTCCCACTATTAAGTCATTTTTGGTGCTCTTTGGACCTCGCACTAGGCCGATCCAGCTCCGCAACCTGGCAAAGAACTTTTTTTTGGTCTAGTATTCTCATAGTTTTAGTGAGTTGCGGCATCTTAGACAGTTCTGAATGGAGCTTATACAAGTGGAGCTGGAAGGCACACAGGTAGAAAAAGAGGAAGATTTTTGTTTGGCAGTGTCAAGCTGTTAAATAAGCTCAGCATCAGTGCAACTCTACCTACGGATTTCAAGCTATTATTTGACAATATTTTATTAACAAAGGTAACAAACAGTCCCATCTAAATAAGATTCCTAACAAACCTGGCAGGCAGGTTGTTCAGAGAGACCATACTTAAATGCAATAATAAAAAACTCCCTGCACTTTGATTCCTTCCTGCCCACTAGCAGAGAAAAGGAAAACAAAACAAAAAAAAAAAACACCACAGCTCATTTCTGTGAATCACATTCAACTGTAGTCACTTTGAGAAAAAAATATTACATACAATAAAAATTGCTACCATTTTCACAAATGTTTTTCATCTCCTAGATACAGTACTATTTTTTCAATTTTTTTTTTAATCCTGACTTCCTCCTTGAAGTCAGTATGCCTAACTATATAAGTTCTTGCTTTTAAAACTATATATAACTCTACAGTTCCTGTCAACTTCTAAATCTGCATTACTGACAAAGAAAAAAAGGTAAAATTGAGTTTTGTGGAAGTCCTTAAGAAAGAAGCTGCTCGCATAAGACAACAGCCTTTGAGCAGTATGAGTCACTGATCATTCAAGCTCAATGAGTAAATCTGGGGGAAAGCAAGGAGGCAGAGAACAATGCAAAACAAACCAAAATAGTCTTGAGTCTACCCAAAACCAAAACCACACCAAGAAAAGCAATGAATTATTGCAAACAGTTTTGCTTTCATGTTTGTTTTATTTTACATAACTTAATTTGCTCTCAAAATGTTGATTTAAAATTAAAAATACCAAAATTAACTTTGAAGAATTTTTCCATTCTTGAAAATGAAATGAAGAATGAAAAAATATTCTTGTTCCTTTTTTTGTCCAAAAGCATTTGCTGCATTCAACATAAAACCACAAGTAGATTTTGCCAGACAATACATCTTTGATTAATAAATCACTTTAAAAAAACCCCAACCAACCAACAACGGACAGCTCTGGTGACAGTCTCTTATTGAGCAGAGCAGCTTTATCAATGAGAGATCTGCTCTGGCAAAAGCGCCCCCTTTTTCAACCACTATGTAAAAATCAAATCTATTCTGGTACCCTTACAAGTACTGGTAGCTAAAAGCAATACAAGCATGTATCATAAACTACAGTACTTACTTAACTATGTAAATCATTCCCTCTCCCAGCTAAATTCTGATTTATGTTCAAAAATTAGCTTATACTTTTCAAAGTCACAGAATATTTCAGCTACTATAATTGTGAATTCTAGCAACCGACATGTCTTCTGACTTTTCAAACTGAGTAGTCTTAGTGGTGTGTAGGCCAAGTTATCCTATCAACTGCATGAACTGTACCGGTTCCATCCCTCCTGAGATTTTTCGCTGGAATCTTTGTATTGCAACAGAAAGCAGAGAATGACCAAAGTTTTCTTTTCAAGAGAAAACAATAACCTGATCTTTTTCCCTTTCATTAATCTTCACTGGTTTTGACTGAGGTAACCGTGACTTTTTTTTCTCATCCAATCATAGACTGTATAATCAAATGCTGCAAAGATGGGTCAAATTCATGTTCTATTATCAGCAAGACTGTCAGTATGAAAATGATGACCTTGGGTAGGAAAACACTACAGGTGTTTGTTTATACAGAAAAAAAAGAAATGAGTTATCAGATTTTCATGTTTGTACTTCAGGAATGTAGTATTTCATGGTAGTCACAGACAACACAATCAATTGAAGCTTACTAATTCCTAATTCAGTAAGAGCTTATCCATTTCTAATTGCCCATGCTGGAATACCAAAAAGGAGAAGAGAGCTACCCTGCCTCTGATCTTTCCTTTGTCTTTATTACATTAATGAGTTCTTTTCAAGGCTTTTCTAAACAAACCATGATCATGGGGAATCTCCAAGTGAATCACAACAAAAAGGAAAAAAAAAAACCCTTGTCATGGTTCCTTTACTCATAATTTCAAACTTAAGCAGCAGAAATATTCTCTTAAAATATCTGATTAAGTTAATTATGTTAAACTCAGAATGACTGCTCTCAACCCATGTTTAGCTTCAAAGTTTGCAGCTGTTTTAGAACTGAAGATCTTCTGTACTGAAAAGCTTGTCTGCATTTTCAAAATTAGTTAGCCTGATAACTTATATTGCCCCCTCCCCACAAACTTTTCTTGCGGGAGAAACGTCAATTCTGTTTCTGAAAACAGGAGAAGTCCCGTGTGGGCAGCACCAAATGAGGACACAAACAGAGCTATTACAAGCAAAGGAGAGGGTTTTTATAAAGCAGATTAAACTGAATTAGGTTGAAACAGCAATTTAAATGAGGAAGAATTATATAGGCAAAAATAAACCAGATGGTGTCACTGCACAGCTTGTTTTGAGACTGGAACAAAGTTCAGCAGAGGCATAAAGAGTCCCACAGGCTCTAGAGGAATTATTAGACAAGTTGACTGTGATATCTGATCCTCTCAATGTAAACAGTATTATAAAGCAACAAAAGAAACCCAGCATGCCACATATAGTTTTGGGCTCTATCCTTCAAGAAAGTTCTGAGAAAAACAGAAAATAAAATCAGGAGTGGTGATCATGGATTCCAGCTCTCTAACAAACAAAAAAAAAAGAGAATAATTTAATTTAACTAGTTTAACTGATGAAAGTAAAAAAACGGAAGAGAGATGTGATGGTGCAGCCTTTCTACTCATCAAATATGCATAAAATGAGAGCAATTTTTATGTCCACAGTGGACAGGACAAGTAATAAGCTTAAGGGAAATTCATATTAGGTACTAAAAATATCAAAATAAAATACTCCACCTTATCAAACCCTTTCTAGTAGTAAGGATAGTTAAGTATTACAAGTGGTGTTGACCGGGGATGTTTTAGAATCTCAATTATAGAGGTTTTAAGAGAAAATATTGGTATGTGTCAGGATTAAAACAGATGTAGATAGATAAGCCTGTCCTTAGGCTGATGTATAGAGCAGATCACCTCTTGATGTCCCTTCTCATCTTGTTTTCCAATTCTACATACACCGTTTTAGAAACACACATAAGTCTTATGAGTAAGAGAAATAAAACTGTACTTGAGTCAAAAAAATGAAAGTTTCTATAAAATGACAAAGGTTCCTTTGGTAAAAATAAGCAGACACCAGAGTCGCAAGTTTCACGCTTAACTGCCTGCTCTGATGGAAATGAGGACAGTGAGAGATTCTGAGCGTGAAAACACAGCTACTGAGCAGATGAAATCGGGTACGATTTAGGTGCTAATAGGGACTTCTAGGTTACATCATAGGCTAGAATATTTGAAAACTGAACCACATACAGATTTTAGACTGTAGGCAAACATCAGGTCCATAGAAAAAACATCTAGCAGGAGGCATGCTGAAGGTTAGCAACTGCATCACTTGCATGTCCTGAACTTACACCTGACAATGAGTACATGCCAGTCTCAGTATAATGGCTTAAGAGTTCTAGCGATTCTAGTATATGCAGGCTCTTAAACGAGACTTGAAAACACAGCTAACATCTTTCGCCCTCAAAAGAAGCACATGCAGTGGAGTATGTTGACCAGACACAGCAAGGTTTCCTTTCTTAAAACAAAAAAACACAAAACAACACTAATGTGTGTGTGCGCATGTGTGCATAATCACACACACACTTTGCTGTATGTTTATCTCTTTAAGAAATCAAAGGTCAATAAATCTGGAGAGTTGGACCATGTGATGGAGAGTTCTCAAGTGGTTTCTGGAAGAGATGTTCTCAGACTAGTCTCCACATAGATGGAGCTTAATCATCATTTCTGTATAGACACTCAGTGTGCCGCAGCAGGACAGTCTTATTGCAGAACTGACATTTCTTTAGTGGTGGCAACTTCATGTCACAGTTAAGCCAAGAAGTGATGAAGTTGACTCCCTAGTCAACTAGATATGATCTGACATATACCACTATATCAGATCTCAGTGCAGTAAATTAATCCAAGAATGTTTTGTTTGTTTTGTTGTTAAGTAACTAATTGTGGACCTGCAATTTCCAAAGGAGACAAATTTAGGACTGCCAGTTCTTCAAAATTCTTCCACTGGCCACAGTGCCACTTTTGTCTTGCAAAATGTGCTTCAGTCATATTTCAGCTGTCTTCAATCATATCAAATAACCAAGACATTTTGCTAGATGGCTCCCTAGGAGACCTTTTTCCTTCAACTGCCCCTTATAAGGGTTCTACAATCATCAAATTGAAAAGGGAAAACAAGAGAATGGAACCCATACAATTGCTATTTACATATGGAAGGAATAAGAAAAAAAAAATAGCATTGGAAGCTGAAACACTTCACTCGGCATCCAGCTGCAACATCAAATGGGAACTGAAGCCAGCGTGTCCAGCATTTAATGAGAGTTTAGCATCACACTAGTCTACCGTTCTCAAATCAGTTTGGGCAGTTTGAATACAGTGCCAAGGAAGAGCTAT